TCCAGGTGGTTGAGATACTAGTTCAGAGGCCATTTAATCTACATTTCTACAACACCCATCAAGGCCCTGGGCTGCTTTGTCAATATTTCTTGGGCTCCACTCTGGCAACACGGGTTAGAAGCAGGCAGCCATTAAGAGCCAGATTCATTGAATACCCCATTCTACTGTCCCAAACTGACAACTCAGCAACAAAAAACAACGACTGTCACCGAGAGGTAATGAAGGGAAAAGTGGTTTGATAGATGCTAGTACAATCCAAGCATCTCACAGCACAAGGTAAAAAGGAGGCAATGAAGGAATGAGGTAATTAATCCATCCTACAATCCTTAACCTATTAAGCACAATTAACAGTGAGAATATGTGATAAATGTTACTTCATAAAGACGTGAAACAGAATCATTAGCACAGATTTGGGGGAACAAAAGGTTCAAAATGTAGACTCAACTCCTAGTACCATCCGTAATCTGACTCAAAAGAGTCTAAGGACATTTTTCTAGGCTGGAACAGTAGATGAATGAGTGGCATTCACAATGTTACCCCAACCAATAAACCCCCCACCTCCCTGGAAACTAATCAATATCTAAGCTGATGTTTAGGCTGCTCAAACTCTGGATAAAACATTTCACCAGGTGGAGGACCCCAGGACTAAACTGAGGCCTTGAACATCCTATTCACTTATCTTTCTCAACAGAACTCCTCCCATTCACTGATACAATACCTGAACTCATTTGCCAATAGACAGCAAACTTGCTCTGTGCATCCCGTCCCCCCCATACCGATACTGTCCTTCCATTGCTAAACATCAGTAACTCCTGCTACCTATACCCTCTCATTCTCATCTACCTCAACAGTAGCCCTATGTCTCGCTCAAGATCTACCTCAATCCTATCCTACTGCCAATAAACCATTTCAGATCTACCTGCCCCCTTCACTGTGCCCTCTGGAACTCTGGGTCAATAATTGACAAAATTCCCTAGATTTAAGACAACTTCGGATTCTACTTCCGTTTTCAGGCATTCACGGACACTTGCCTCCCCTAAGCATCCTTTTCACTACTAGCTGCATCTACTGTCATGATTCTCTGGAATTCTGCCCTCCTGGAAGAGGAGTCAGAATACTCTTCCACAGATGATGGTGGCTGTTAGCAATAGACCCCATTCTCTGTCCTGGGCCCTCTTTTCTCTCTATTTTCTCTTACTTGGTGAGCTTATTAGCTCCAATTGGTTCAATTATCATCTCTGTGAAATCCTAATGCCTCTTTTGACCTCTGGTCACACATAAGCAATTGCTTACTGAGCATTTCAAACAGGATGTTCCATAAGTACCTCAAATTTAGCATATCCAAAAAGAAGCTAATTTACGCCCCCTCCCCCCCCACCCTTTCCCTTAATTTCCCTAATATTGAGGATACCACAATTCTAATCATCCATGTTTGCAATCTTGGGGCCACTTTCATCTCACATATCCAATCAGTGGACAGATCTTGTCATTTCTGCCTTTACATCTCTTGAGGATATGTCACTTTCTATCCACTCACATGGCACCAGTTGAGCATCTCATCACATCTTGTCCAGACTATTTCAATTGCCTCCTA